CAACACTTCTGGATTTTCTTATTATACCCTCTGTCCAGGGCTTCTCTCCGGGTTTGTAGTTGCGAGCATACACCTTCTCTCCCTCTCGAATGTAATGATTTGTTGTTTGTGGAACTGGAGCTTCTGTTTGTAGATACTCTAGCCGCATATCCAGCTGTCGTCCCAAAAACTGTTCGGCTAGTGTCTGGCCCACAAGATCACTTTTTGGAGTTGTTCGATAGGCAAAAAGGAATGTGTTGAGATACTCCATTTTAACACCAGTGTAACTCATCTTCTTCGTGACCCTCTTGAACGTATCGACGAAGCTTTCTGCTTGGCCATTCGATTGCGTATGCTAGTGACGGCACATGTCGAATTCCCCATTTCTGACACAGTTGTTAGAAAACTGATGAAGTGAACTGAGTGCCGTTATCCGTCACAGTCTCCATAGGGATGCCGTACCTCGCTATTAGTTCTTCCGTCTTCCTTTCCGTGATATCAGCGGTAACTGTCGAGACGTCAAGAACTTCTAGCCACTTGGACCATGCATCAACAACCATTTGAAACATTCGGTTGAAAAACAGTCCCAAGAAGTCCATATGGACTCTACCCCAAGATCACGTTACCTCTGGCCATGGCACGGGCGGTACTCTCGGTGGGTTTTTAGCCTCACCTCCACACGGGCCGCAGCTTCGAACGAAAGATTCCACGTCGTTATCAATACACGGCCAATATAGGTACTTGCGGGCCAGTGGTTTCATGTCGTTCATGCCCTGATGTCCGGCATGGTGTTCCTGCAAAAACTTTTGCTGATGTCTGGTTGTGATCACCACTTTTCATCACACATTATGCAGTCTTCTGTGATATACAACTGTTCCTTTATGTTCCTCAAAGGCTTCATAGATGGGTGTACTTTGTCGTCGCTGGGCCAACCATTCCGAATAAACTCTTTCACCTTGCGCAAAAGGGGGGTCTGCTGCAGTGGCGGCCCTGATGTGATCGGCTGAGAGCGGCAACTGCCGGACGACACCTCTTAACTCATCATCATCCTGTAGTAGCGTGCTGGAGACAACCACGTCTTCTTGATTTTCGTTGCGTGCAATCAGTCATGATAGGACGTCTGGAGCTCCAAATTTCTGAGTGGACACATATTGGATCTTAAAGTCATAGTCTTGAAGACTAGTACTCAAGCGTTGTATCCTCCTAGCTACGTTCTGGGGAACACCACGGTTTGTCCCCAAAAGGAACTGCAGGGGTTGATGATCAGTGTGTAGTATGAAAGATCTGCCAGAGATCAACATGTGGAATCTCTGTACGACGATGATACCCAGTGTCTCATTTTCAATCTGGCTATAATTCCGTTATGCCTTCGTCAGTGACCTGGCGGCATGCAGGATTGGCTGGGCTCTCCCATATGCTTCCTTCTGCAGGAACACTCCACCTAGACCGTAATGAGAGGCGCCTGCATGCACAATGGTCTCTTTGTCAGCCTCGAAGTGTGATAGCATAGTCGAGTCGCATATCTTTGCCTTTATGGCATCAAATGCGTTTTCACCTTCTGGCGACCAAACAAACTCCACGTCCTTGCACAGAAGTCGGCTGAGTGGAGGTTTTAAGCTGTGCAACCCAGTGATGAAGGGGCCGTAGAAGCTGACCAACCCCATAAACGATTGCAGCTCGCTCGTTTTCTTCGGCACTTTCATAGTCTGGAATGCCTTCACTCTATCAAGGGCGAATGCAAGCCCATTCTCCTTGACTATGAATCCGAGATAGTGGACCTCCGTCGCAAAAATTCACTTTTCTCCTTATTGATCTTAAGGCCGTAGTCGATCAGATTGCCCACAACCTCGTCCAGCCTTTGGGTCAGCTCTTCCTCTGAGCTACCGACAAACAAAATATCGTCCAGATATGTAACAGTCCTGGGAACATTCGTAAGCATCGCATCCATGATCTGCTGGAACACACTAGTTGCTGTTTTCGCGCCGTAGTTTAGACGAGTGTATCTGAAGAGACCCTTGTGCGTATTAATGGTCAAAGGTTCCTGCGATTTCTCGTCCACCTCAATTCGCAAGTAAGCTTCGGATAGATCGATCCTCGCAATGACTTGCCCTCCATTTAGAGTAGCGAAAATCTGCTCTAAGGTTGGCAGCGGGTAATGATAATCTTCTAGTGCGTCGTCCAAGCCCGTTGAATAATCCGCGCATAGTCGTATTTGTACGTTGGGCTTCTTCACCGCCATGACTAGAGCAGCCCAGGCTGAATGATTGGTAGGATAGATTATGCCCTTTGTCTGTAGTCTTTCTAGTTCAGCTTCTACGGACGACTGTACCGCAAACGGGACTCGTCGGCTCTGCTTGAAAGCCGGCTTTTTCTCCGGCTTCGCTTTCAAACTTATCTTCGTCTTCGTGCACCTGCAGGCCGCGTTCTCCGTGCGTTCCATATACTTATTCTTCAGGACTTTTTCGGTAGTGTTGTGCACCGCGCTGCAAATTTCGTTGAAGGGACGGTTCCAAAATCCCACTTTGGAGATCGTCTTATTTCCCAGAAGATTGTTACGGGTCTTGGACACATAGACATCTGCGAGGCAAGTGATGCTTCGAAACTGACAGTCGGATGAAAAACGCCTTCAAATTCCATACGCGTCTCGTTCGACGCCCATGCTATGATCTCTGATGGTCTTAGTTCTGGAGAACCGATGTCCTCCCATCTGCGCATGCTGATCATGGTCAGATCAGAAGCTGTGTCTACTTGTTATATGGTCAGCTTTTCGTTGATATTTACCGGCAAGTATTTTCGGTATTCGCAATTGAGCACTTGTGAATCGTCTTCTAAAACGACATGGCAATACTCTCTGGGGCAAGCGTGCGCTGCTCTGCAATGTGAAGCTTTATGACCTGCACGGGAATATTTGTAGCACTTCCTACTACGATAGGGACATCCACTCACGTAGTGCCAACCACCGCGCAACCAGCAAGCCGTCTTTGGCTTCCGTTAAGTCGGGTATATTGCTTGATATTTTGTGATTCGGACACATTCCTCTGCCAGTTCCTGTACTGTCATATCGCCTTCGTGGTCTAACTGGTCGAGTAACCGCGTACGCACATCTGCATCTTCTGGCAACGTCAAGCACTTAATGAAAAATAGTGCTTTAATCTGTGCGCTGGTGGCCTGTTCTAGCTTGGCTTGATGAAAATTATCATGAACTCGGCCTGCCAAATCAAAAAGTCTTTTTCAGGCTTACGTTCTGGCATGAAACATTCAAAACTTCGATTGAATTACGACTTTTTAAAACAGAGCAATGCTTTTAAATGCTTGACTGTGTACTTAAACGAGGAATCTGACGGTGTCTGAGGCAGAATGAACTTTACGTACCGCTCGTGTTCCATCTGGCACAGTTAAGCAGCATGATTTCCACCTTCGTCTTGTTGTTCAGTTCTGCTCCCTCCTCTTCGAACAATCCTTCGTACTTTCGAAACCAGTCTTCGAAATTTACGCCGCCTTCTGGATCGTTAACGAACTCGGTGTTCTGTTGCTCGACCTGTTTCCTTTTGTTCTCTCTGGATGCCGGTCCCTAATTCCGCTGCTTTTCTGTGGGTAATGCCATGAAGCTGACCTGCTGAGCTTCCAGTGTGTGCTATATTTTTTCTTCTGAGATCATTTTGCTGCACCTGCGTCGCCAGTTGTTATGAGCCGGACGGAAGGTAGGAAAGGAAGAGAGCCGGTTCGGACGACAAGCAATTTATAAGAAACTTGCGGACACGAGGGGAGTTACAACTCGTAGGCAAGATGCGCTAGTTATATTGGCTCCTGTGCGTTCTAGAACATTCCGTCGAATTTAAAAGAACACGAAGGCACGATCTATGGGACTGTAGATCCCAGTGGGTCCAATGACGTGCCAGTCGTTGGGGGCGTTCTCTGATGCTCCTGCCTCGGGCGTGCTCGTCGCTGATTGGGTACCGCGTGAGCGATAGCCCCCCGGTGGAAATGTCTGGAATGTTTGCCCGGCCACTGATTGGGCCGCACACGGGCAAAACAACCACCACGTGCTTGGCGCTTTAGTGCACGCCGGTCGGTCGTCGAACTTCACGCGTGTCTCACGCCGCCGCCTTCGTCTCCTGTTCAGCGCCTTAGGCCGTGGCTCTACGCCGCTTGCACTCATGACATACAAACAATAACGTGGTCAGTCCTCCCCGTGAGTGCACCATGTACCTTTTAACGTGAACACAGGCGACGAATGCACAAACTTAGAATTATTAGCACAGATCTCATCCGAATTAATCAACGGTTCAGTCCGTGTTTGTGCTTTAGGTAGTATGTAACCAAACCAGAAGTCCGAAGGCTGTGCCCACACCATTTAATTTTGTTATTTTTTTTCCAACATACAACTTTCTCAAACGTTAAAAAAATTAATGAATATCCGCACGCAAGAAAGCCTTGCCGTAAAGGCTTACGCTGCAATTAAAAAAATAGCTGCTTAAGTAAAACCGTGGGTTTTTCAATAATATTTTCGATAGCCATTTAAATGCAGAGGCCTAATGAGAATTTATCGCAAAATGACGTATGCTCGCCAAATGGCTTTTTAAATTTAACAATGGAAATTTTCGCAACTCTTTTTGCACTAGCATTTAAGGCTAGCAAAGACAAAAAACAATTTCTATCGAGAATTTGAATCCGCATATGGAATGTTTTATTTTACAAGTGCGTCTACGAGACACTACTATTATCAGTGAAGTAAGCGTATGAACGGATCAGCTACCAATCAAAACGTGTTCTCACTTTCACAGCTTTGTTTATGAAGAGGTCAGTTACTTGAATGCAAGATTTATGCCTTTAGAATTCTATTGCTTATCGCTGTAAACTGCGTAGATTAATATTTGTTTGTGAAATTTCATAGTTGAAATTAACCTCTGCGAGAGGTAAACACGAGTGTCATTTTTTAAAAATGCAGGTCAGGTTTCTAACAAGGAACACAATAGTCAGTCCAAAATATCACCTGACGTGCAATTTTTGAAGCAGGTCATCAAACTTTCAAATCTATTTTCATCATCCGGCTTGCTAAAAAATTTGGCATCCTGACAATATCCTTCGCGAGGACAGAATATTGCTGTGTCTTCCAAGCTGTTTTTTACTATGAGAAAAAAACGACTGTTAAGGTTCCAATTACTTGAATATAACAATTTGCTAAGAATTCAAAACAAATATATTAACTCACGATCTGGCCAGCCATCGCATTGAAAAGCGCACTTATTGAAGGCATCAAAGGTCCCATTTATTTTCTCTATTTGAACGCATCGTTCCAGTTCACCAGAACACATTTGAAAGTCATTGAAGGTGCAATGTTGAACATAAAACCAAGAATTAATTGCTTATGAGCCGTGTTTTTCAGTTTAAACGTATTTTGAACGCTAGCAGGACGTAGTCGAAAAAAGATTGAAAAACAAAAAGGTAGTTTTCCTCTCCCGACAAAATGACAGAGACTGACACACTTAACGTGTCTCTCAAAGTTCTCCGCGTATCCCGGCCGCCCATAAACTTCATACGGCTTGCATGTTTCGTTGGCTTCTACACATAAGTATACTGTCATTTTCTCATTTAAGCCACCTAAAAAAAGGAAGACTTGTTGCTGCAGAACTAATGATAATCCGCATGGAGGTTGAGAGCAAAAATAAAATACCCAGTAGAAAATTAAATGTGACAGGAATACATGCAGATTGAAGAACAAACCTCTCTGCTTTGCACACGCATCACGACAGCCTTTGCCCTTGGTTGTATCTTTCTCTCTGTATGGTATAAATTCACATTCCTTATGCTCCTTTTTGCACAGATTATAGACTGGTATTCTCTCATTCTCTGTAAAAAACCAAATTTACAAAATTTAAAATCAAAGAAGATTTTTGAAAAGATGAGCGTTTCAGATTTTCCCCAAGCTCATATGAGATAAAGATACAACGAGCAATTTACCGCGTCTAGTTTTGAACCGCTAAATTAACATAAAATAAATTGCGGTCGAATGTGAAAAGCTGATAAATGCTGTGAAAGTAAAAGAGTCCAATACCGATGTTTCTGTGAGTTTCGATCATCGACATTAGGTTACTTTAAACACTTGCGAATAAGCGCACTTCACTAACAAAACACTATACCTTTTTTGATTTTTAAAATGAAAAAACTAATATTTTACCATTTAGAAAAAAATCCATTTGATATTAGCATTCGGGACCAGCCTATCGTCGCTCAGCATAGAAGGATTTCAAATCCACAAGTTGACCCTATTTAATACGTCCCACAAATTTAAGTTAGATTTTATAGGATAATTTCTTTGAGGAAGGTTATTGTCAACTTTAGCCAATAAACAGGATGAAATCAATGAAAATGGCAAGCAAAACTTTTAAGGCAGTTAGATTTTTCGAAATTTTAACCGATGATGCAAATCCCCAAAAATTCTTATTCTGAACGTCAAAATATGAGAAACACGTGATTTTATAGAGAATCTCTTGAGTGCACGATATGATCACAATTTTCATTAAAAATTATTTTGATGAATAGTGCCATCGAAACACAATGGTATAGTCGCACGACTTTAAAGGAAACATTGTAGAGGAACGGTTATTTGTTAGCCACACATATAACGTTAATCCGAAAGGCGGAAGCGTGGGATGTAAACTTCATACCAAGAAGATACTAACGCGCAATCCGGGCTTATTAACTGCAGGCAGATAACTGAATTTCACACGAAGTTCCTAGCCTTTAGGTAGTAAAATACGTCATTTTTAAAGCAGACTACTGTAATATTTCTAAGTGAATTCACCTGTATATCCGTGTTTATTAACCCTAGACGTGAAATTAAAGGGACACCCAAATCTGTAAAACAACGTTTCCTTATTGGGAGAACCGGATCGGATTTAACATAGACATACATCTTTATGAAATAGCCAACTTTGGACAGTACCCTTTATGATAGAGAAAATTTGTCCTTAAAATACTTTCTTACTTATGCAAAAAATATCATAGATATCTAAATTCTAGCCTATATAGTAACATTAATTTGCCACCAAGATGATTGAAAAACGGTTCGCCATTTTATCTTGGAATTTACAAAGAGCTGGCATCATTGGAATCGCGCAAGGAACATTGGATGCCGAAATACCGTTCAAAATGCAAAGGCGATTTATAAATTAGTTTAATTGAGGGTAGTTAATCAAGAACTGTACTCAGTTATAAGTGACGATGTTGATATTTACAAGAGCCAATAGGCGATGTCTTCATTTAATCATCTCTATGAGACCACATCCTCATATGCAGCAGTAGCCTCCGATTCACCAGTATATTTTGAAGAGGAAAGCGTCAGGTTT